CCCCCGCCCAATCTGATTATCCTCAGTTGCTCTGAAATCTCTTGACTAGTTCTGGCCCAGTCCCGTGACACCAGCTGACGGAGGCTCAGCTGATGTGCTCTGGGCTCCGGAGACTGCATCCAGATCACATCACTGAGGGCTCTGCCTTTGCCAAAGCCAAACTGGGCCTAAGGCAAAAGTCAACAATATTGAAACAAAAGATTCTGCTCAGTAGCATCAGGCATTCATGTCCAAATGCGAGGTGCCCAAAGAAAACGTAACCCAGTTGAGTGGGCTAGAATCCTTTTGGAGCATCTCAGAAAAATGAAATTTGGAAATTAGTTCACTCCTCAGCAGACGTCAGTTTCAGCAGATTTTTTATTTTTCGGTGATGAGCGCGTTGGGGTAGCAAATGTAATTACTGCAATGTCATGCAGTACCTTGCACAATGACCTGACTTAAGCTTCTCAAATATAAAGAACTTTGAATCTGTAGGTATTTGGAGAGTTATGTAAGCCAATTTGTTCTAGGATTATTCTATATGCTTGCAGTGGCAAGGGCCCAAAGGAGAACTATGAGAGGCTGTGGTTCCCAGCTTGGTTTTGACTGCAGTGCTTTTCATCCCCCTTGTTTTTTAAGTGCTGGAGCTAGTGTCAGAGACTTTCATTCTGGGTGGTTTAAATTTCAGGCAGCTGACCAACTTTGTCACACATGCATACTTAATCAGCGGGTGACTTTGGCCTGTTAAAACTTCAGTTTAGCTGTATTTTGTGTATAGAAATGTTTCAAAACAATGAATTCTTGACCCTAGCCCCCTAAGTTCCCCCTGCCCGTGGACTACTGATGCATTGCTACTGCCAGAGGGGATCCCAGTATTAAATTCCTACCACGCAGTGCTCCTTGCAGAATGTATTAAAGCAAACTGTGAGTCAATCGTAACTATTAAAGGAAGAAGTCACCCTTTTATTTATTTCGTTCCAGAAAAATTAAAAAATTAATTGTGTTACTCCATGCCTCATTAAATACTTATGAAAGCTGTTATAAGGCCCTGAAGCTGCTATGTGTTATTACAAGATGTGGTCATAAGACAAACTGCTGTAGTTGGCAAGGCTCAGCCCACTTTCTCAGCTTCCCTAAACACACCTTCTAAACGGGCCCAGGATTTCTAAATGGACATAACAGTCCATTATTTTTTTCCTACTGAGGGCAGGATACTTGGGCATTTTACTGCAAAGCAATAAAAGCAGCTCCACAGCACTGGGAATAAGTGCTGCACCTTGTACCGTAGTTCCTCACTGACCAGGGTGATCTTCGTACAGTCATCTCTCTTCCCCCATGCTCCCCTTCAAGTCACTGACCCTGAGATGTACGCTGTTAGAAACTGGCTCCCTCTCACATAAAAAACAAAAAACAAAAAACCCCCCAAAACAGCCGCAGTAATGATTTCCCAGCTCTTTGGTGATTTCAGTATTTTTCTACTTGTAACCAAAGTCACTGATTCATAGAGTGGGATGAAAAAGTCTCACTAGGTCATTTAGGCCTTCTATTTCAGGATCATCCTCTGTGGTACCATCTAAGCAACTTTGACACCTCTCTACAAAACCTAAAAAAAGCTTGTGAAAGATTACTTAATATTCAGGCTGTCTTCCTTTGCCTGGTTTAATTCCTAGACTTTCCAGACACATCAGTACCAGAATATCTGACATAGCACAGTAAACATGGGAACTGCAAAGGGATCTCACTGCCCACACCACAGTACCATGCTAAAACACGTTTGCCCAAGTTTGTGGCTGGGTCATGAGATCTACTAACAATATCGTGGCCCCCACGTACGCACACCTGCGTGCAGTGGCACAGAGCACAAGTGCTGTGGTAACCAGGCTCCTTGTTATTTACAGAGCGGGCAGGTTTCCAGTTATCGACAAGGAGTCCACACCAGGAAGTTTCTTCTCCTCATTTGGTTTCACACCTAACAAACTCAACATTGGGGCCAAGCTCAGGGACACTACAGAAACACAGCCTGAAGAGTAGGAGGATTGGCTGGTAATCATGAATGTCACTCTTAGCTGATTTGCTGCTACTGCTGTGCATTCTTCTAGTCTTTTGTATCAGTTCCTCCAGTGCTTTCACTGGGTTTGTACTTTCATCCTTAAATCGCCCCAGTTTGTAGGTATCCTTCTGAAAGAGAAGAGTCCAGTGCTGTGCATAGGCCAACTGTAGTCTCCGTACTGCCTATGAAATAGGGCTGAAGCCAGCTCACCCCCTTCTATGAAATGTATTTCCTCAACGAGCACTGCATACATATGAAATATGCACATTATGAAAGAGGGTCCTTTTGGTCACAACATCTGTTTGAGGTCAGGAAATGACAGTGTTCAGATTCTCATCTCTCCCCTTATCCTGCCCCAAATGGTACATCTTCTTGCAAGGACAATATCGAGAGTTTTCTGTTTGGTCATTGTGTGAAGCGTGACCAGCTTGGGTCAGTGGGCAAACGTGGTTCAGTTGAGTCTCACAGTCTCCACACACCTATTGTTCAGTATTGCGCTGTGGTGAGAATACTAAAAGTCAAGAGGGACTGGACTGCGACTTTCACAGTTACAAGCGGATTTATCAAAACTGAACATCACTTTCTTTCTATCTCCTCCTGCAGCAGCAGCATTCAGAAGTTAGGTAGAGGCAGATTCAGTGCAAGGAAATACCTTTTTGGGCCAATCCAGGAAAAGCACTGAATCAAATAATTGCTAGCTTTTAATTATGTAACTAGTATTAACTTGTGTGGCTATATAATTCTGTGATTAATCAAATCAGTTGCTGCCTTGGGTCAGAAAATGCTCATCTGTGGGGCTCGGGGAGGATTTTTCTCTCTTATACAGGACAGTACAATCGGCTCAGAGCATAAAGGGGTTTTTGCTTTCCTCTGAAGCATCGAGCACTGACCACTGCCTGAGGCAAGATACAGATGGACTCATTGTGTGATTCAGTGTGGCAGTTTCTGTGAAGCAAATGGGATTTCAAGGACAGACAGAACAAGGGAAGCTGCAGTGTAGTTTTCCAATACACACTCCAAGCATATGTACGTTTCTCTGTTGCTGAGCAAGAACAGAGTAGAATGAAGTGCCAGTAAATATAGAGCATTAAGGGAAAAATGCAAAGACCCTTGGATATTTAATTTAGGCAATGTATTTAGAATGAAAGGAACAGTTTTGAAAGTTAATTGCATTTTGGTCTGCTGTAAGAGGGCTAATGACAAAACTTGCTTCTGACCTAACTCATTGGCTTTCCGTCTTTGGAGCAAATATTAAATGTCCGTGTTTAAGAGTCCTTCTTCAAACACCAGCATGATTTCAGTGATAGGCAGAGTCATTCCCAGATCCGATCTCCTGACCTAGAGGGGCAGAAACCTAACAAGAACACTTGCTGGGAGTCTACACGGGTCTGACAATTTCCCATTGTGTGGCCAAACTAAACCCTAATAACATTTCTTTGCTCCAGCTCTCTGAGACATGCAGGCTGGGGGCCAAGTTAAACAGATACTTTCATGCTGCTCCCTGTCTCCACTGACAACTTTAATACCTGGCAAATTAGAAGCCAGAGCATCCATGGAACTGGCTGGCACGAGTCAATAGGACTCAGCAACAAAATGAGAAATAAATAAATAAATAGTGAAGCGAAGTGGTGGTTCTGTTGCTTGTGCAAAGGAAGGGTTCATCTACAGAGAAAGTGTGTGTGTACAGAAAGGGACAGCTGCCAAATGTATAGTATATAGAAGAAATTTTCACTCACGTTTTTCTCTGGACAAAGAGGAGAAATTTAGATTGTGAAATCAGAGCATGCTACGTTGTTGGAGCTCTCAGGATTACTGTTTATTTTAGATTTTCTGCTTTGCCACCCAGTTTTGGTTTCAATGCCATGTGCAGGTCTAACAGTGCAGTAATGTTGGCCTTAATCTATAATCTGTGTCTTTGCATTCTAGAAGTCTCGGGAACCCCAGTTTATTTTAGAAGTGCAAGAGGTGGCTGGCAGTCTCTTATGACTCAGGGGTCCTGGGTTCATTTCCTAGGGCCAAGCTGGAGATACAAACACTCTGTGAAGAGCCACTATCTCATGCTAAAATCAGGTCAGCTATAAAGTAGCCAATCTCCTGTTGCAGCTGATGAGAGTTAGAGCTGTTCATGTGATGTCTGAATTTGGCTGAACATCTCAATTAGCTCATGGCTTAGAATGAATGGCTTCATGGACTGTAATATACAGAATATCACTTACTCCACAGACTTCCCCAAGAGGAGAACTACAGGGATGTATGATTCACAGATGGACACTACAGATTGTTAAATGTGGCTGTACACAGATTCTTAGACCAGTGCTTTACCCTAGCCAATGCACTGCATTCTCCACACGCACTCATGACCTTTCCAGAATTAGCAACAATTTAAATGAAGATACCGACACCAACTCTGCCAGCCAGACTGAGAATACCTGCAGCTTGTTAGAAGCTTGGAGCTTTGGGCAGGTTCCAGATTCAGCGGCAAGATAACACAGCTTTTAAGGTCATAGTAGCATAACCTGTCAGGACATATTTATGTACCCCTTCAGGTGAAAGAGGCTGCGCCTACTGTATATTACAACTCTCTCATGCTCAGCATCAGCCTACTCTTAAGTTTGCAATGGTTTTCTGTGCTGCAACACCTACAAAAACATAACAGTGCAGACAGTTGGTGTCTTGGATCTACTACTTTTCCTATTCACCATTTTTGTCCCCCTTCCTCCGATTACTGTTTCTGTCTCTTAGCTATTGTTTTATGTTTCCTGGAGCAGGAACTGGCTTTGCTTTCTTTGCAAAGCACCCAGCACTCTGAATCTGAGATCTACTGTTGGAGTCTGTAGGCACTGCAGCAATACAAACAAATAAAATAATCATAATGAATAATATGATTATTTGATGTACTGTTGATTATTTGGTTTTGGTTTAGGGTCATTAGAACGCAGCTTTATGCTCCTGTAAGCACATGTGAAAGAGACGCAAAGTGCTTGAGTACCGCCTGATTTTAAATTCTCCCAGGCACGTTCATGAGTCATTCTGAACTGAGACATGAGCAATGCCATAATCAGTCTGTGAGTGTGGCTTATTCCAAAGAGATGCAGGTTAAATGGTCCTAGAGCAAAGCAGAGAAGTTCAAAAGACCGTTCTCAGGTTGGGATCGTTATCAGAAACAACTCTAAGTTATCCAGACATCTTCCAAAAAATTCCTCAGAGGGGAAGACAATAGGCTTAACAAACCATTATTGTTAAGGTACCCTATAACAGAAAGGGCCTTTTTGTTCACAAAGCTTACCTTTCCTCAAGGTCACCTCGTGATACAAATCCTCTCCAGGGTTCTCCCACTTTTACCACTGCGGTTGCTTTAAGCAGTATTAGTTGCCTCTCTCCCACTGCCTGCATCACCTATAATAAGAGAAGACAGCAGAAGATGAAACCTGGCTCTCTTTTAATAGCATCAGTTACAGGCCAGCAGTTATAACGTTGAAAAGCCCTGCCCTTCACTGGCATGCTGCACAACAATTTTAAAGGGCTGAAGAACATGAGAGAGATTTTGCCCTACACTGCCTAGTTCAACACACACTGTTGCTTTCAGTATTATTTTAAATTAGAATCTATCATAGATTAGTCATTAATTCATCTTTTATTATACTTAAAGAAAAGCCTGCAGTCTTGATTTCAGAAAAGTCGGATTTTATTCACCTGTGTCAGAACAATGAGAGGGAATACTGTTGTATATATAGGACAGGAGCACTTATAACTAAAGCGTACACAGCGCTCTGAAACTGGTAAGCTAAAAAGACACGGCACCGGGACTTCTGGATTCAGTCCCAAATCTACTTTTGATATATTGAATTATTTGGAATACTTAGTTCAGTTTCCCTGTTATCCAATCTGTAAAATGTCACCGTCTTACAGGGTGCTGCAAAGTTGAATTCAAATGTTTTTTATATATTTAAAAATAATGTTAATCATTAATTGCAGATAGAGGCAAAACCTTATGAAGACAGGGTCAATACATTATACTTTGTTCTCTACAGGCGGAGAGCTGTTAGCAAGAGCAAAGAATCCATATTATCCGACCACGAGCGTGAGGCTGTCAAATACCAGCCAGCAGTGCAGGTTGAAGAGGACACCATGGACTTCACACTGGAAGACTCTGTTCTCCTTCCTATGGATCCAAACCTGGAATGCCACAGCCCGCCTCCAGATTACAACTCCGTCATTCACTACTCTGCCCCTCCAGTGTAATCAGCCCAAGTTGATCCAGGGCCCCTTGTGCCTCTCTTAACAACGCTAGATTCTCATGTGCCTCCATGCCTGGGGAAAAGAGGCTGGGTAGAACGAGAAGGGAAATCTGACTGCACACTGGTTCACGTGTTTCTCCTGGCACATCTCTGATGTGAATGAAACCTCTTTAGGAGCACCCATCTTGCTACCTTTAAAGGCCTATTACAACATACGCAGCAAATTAAAATTCTGTCTATGAGAATCATAAATAGGAGCTGCAACCCAGAACTGCTTCCACTCCTTCTTCCCCTAACTGGGACTGTTCATTGGCACTTGCAGATTTGCCAGTTTCTTCATTCACGTTTTACTCCGTAAGAGTCACCAAGAGTCATGACAAGCTAGTTTGGGAGCAGGATTCATTCTACTGGCCTTGCATGCATCCTGCAAGGATTATACATTATGATGATGCTGTAAAGAATCAGTTGAACAGCCATAAACGCTAACGTTTTGCTTTTGGAGAAAATCCAAAATTACAACATTTTAACTTGGTATCTCACCCTCCCTAAATGGTTTTGAAATATCCAAAACATCTTTGTTACAATTTGCAATTTATTTCTCCTGCCTACAGAACCCATTCTTAAAATGACACAGCACGCACAAAGCAGATAGTACTCACGTATCAAGACACAGGCCGGTCCCTTAGGCTTTTGGGGCATATAGTGTGACTAAATCTGTTTCCCTATGTTTTGCTTGTCAAAACAGCAATTTATTTTAGGATGCACGCAACAGGGAACCTTGATTGAGATGCATCTTTAATGATTGCAAGGCACCATCAATGCCTTAAATAAGAACCTGTTAAGCTTAAATACACAGAATTTCCCAGCACACATGCACATATTTATGTGAGTGTGCATACAACACAGAGTTGTACATATAACAACAGAGTTAGTTACACATATAAACGCGCATACACTCTTGAGGCTCCAGCAGTGTAGCAGCAGTTTTGTGTTTCCTTTCTGGATACAGGTCTTTTTTTTTTTTTTTTTTTTAATAAAGCACTTCCTCTGGATTCCATCACAGATGCCAAACAGTTTGATCTTGGGAGTACTAGTCCATGCTAAACTGTGAGCATATGTGATACATATTTGTCCCTGACTGTCTCGCCAAGGTAAATATTGGTATGAAATGAAATGCCCTCTGCATCTAAGCCCTTCATGGTTAAGTCAAAGCTTTTTTCACAGTCTAATCATACAGACCAAACAGATCAAAAATCCTCACGTTTGAGAAATTCAAAGTGTGTTACCTCCGCTGTGTGTGGTAGGGACTGTTGGCCTGCAAGTAGGTCTGCCCATGTCCCATGCATACCCCTGTCTTTCTCACAGCAATTTCACAAGTAAGCAAATAAGTCTTGTCACTGAATGTGCTATGAAATAATCAGAGCTGACTTTAGAAAACTAGGAAGGGATAAAGTATCTAGGTTGCCAAGCCTAAAAAGCAAGGTTGAGAAAGCTGTTCATTGACAGTCAAGGCTATAACCTGCTAAGTTATAAACCTAGGTCTGTATATTAACTTCTCCCTGTGCACAGTTCCTTCCAAAGTCTGCACAACCCTTTCCTTTCATTCTTAGGCTTGACACTCTGATGCGACTTCTTCAGAGAGAAAGAATTTTTCTTCAGCACTACAAACTGAAAGAAGAAAAAAAAAAAGCCCGACACTTGCAGAACAATCATTTTACCTTGGTGAAGACAGCCTAAATGCTCTTGCAGCAGCGAAGAAAACATTTCCGGATGATCAGTTAAGAGTTGGTTACGTTGAAATAAACATGAAAAAAGCCTCAGGTATTATCAAAGGGGGAGACGAAACTCCAAGCCCCACACCATGTTAACTGTGAATGCTAAAGCATCTGAAGAAAGGGCTCTTGGGAACTGCACTGCTGGTTCTCCTCAGCTTCAGAGTTGACCTGTTAAAGAAATCATCGGCAGTAACTCAAGAGCCCCTCCTTTATAGTGGACCTGCTAAATAGCTGTGGTCTGTAGTTGCTTTATGGTCATTTTTGCACTTCTTTGTATTTTAGTACCTATGTATTAACTACAGCTGGTCAAGTAACAGAAGAAACTACTGGAAAATAATTACTGTGGCTCATTATAGCAGTAAGCTCATTATATCAGCTTTTCATCAGATAGATGGGAAATTAACTATCTATAGATCTCATCAAAAAGTAAATCACTTCTTCTGGAAATAATTTATTCATATGGCAAAATGTAAAAAAATGTGCATACGGTTTGTCTGGCTCTACTGTTAAAGGCACCAGTATGAGATGGTTTGCTATCGTGCCTTGCTCTGTAGCTTAGGAAAATGACAGTGTGTAAAAACCTTTGCTTTTAAACTTTAAAATAAGAACATACAGGGAAAAAACTGCAAGTACGCTCTCTATTTTGGAAAAGAATGGGAAACACTGCTGTGTGAACTATGTGCTTCCAAGAGACTAGCAGGGTATATTTTCTTTCCTGTTTATCAAGGACAAAATGTAGAGGTTTCTCTGAAACCAGAGCAATATGAAGGGCGTTTCCTGAGTGGGACCTAAGAGGACACTCCAACGGAGCACTGACAGCCAGATCAGCCTTTCTGGCTCCCAGTAACACCCGTCAGCCTTTCTTACATCGTGATCTGAGAACACAAGAGTGCAGGCCCGTGCGCTCAAGACACATTTTAAAACACTGGCTGCATTGAAAGCTCCCGGAGAACTGAGGGCTCCCCTGCAGCGGCAAAATCAACGGCTGTCTTGAGCAGTATCGATGGCCGTTTCTTCAGATCACACAGATACCCTCCAAACCCATAAAGTTGGCCGTCAAGTTCTCAAAATGGCAAGCGACTGATGGTTGGGCAGCTGTGTTTCCAGAGTTTATTCTGAGTGGAAGGTTTTCCCTACTTATGGTAAATGCAACAAGCAAAAATACTGCCTGAAAAGTATTATTGAACATATGTCTTCTATTTTATTTACTAATATTTTGTTCGTACTTTTCTCTCCTCCCTTAATTTAATTATTTTTCTTCTCTTACAATGATGTATATAGTTTACCCAGTAGACACAAATATAGCAATTCATTTATGTGGTAATATTTGTAACATTTTAGTCAAATGAGAAAGAGATACCCTGATATAACAGATTTAAGTATCTTTACTAAACATTTCACTAATGCTTGCAGGCCAGGCTCCAGTTTACAGTACCCTACTAGTGCCATTTCATAGCAATTCTCCTTTTGGTTGGAAGTATCTCTGGCTCTCACTTATTCCCAATTGTTATTTAGCTTCAGTGAGGAAACAGGGATCTGGAGGAATCTGGCAGGTTTATCTCATTCCTGGAAGTGTCGCCGTGCAGCTCAAGGTAAAGGAGAGGAATTTTACTGTCTCTGTTCTAACTCAAGACTGGTCTATGGGCTAGAAAAAGAGAAGGGGCCAAATTGCTTAAATGATGTAATGTTTGATTATTGTTTTTTCAGACTTCTCAGGGATTCTTATTTGACTCCTGTCAGCCACCTGCTTTTTCTAACCTTAGTGAGCTCAGTGATATCTGATACCAGCAAGCACCGTTTTTTTCCCTTAATAGCGCTTCCTCCAACTGCTCGTTTCTCTCGTAACCCCAGAGAATTAGAGCAAAGGGACTCAGAGCTTACCAGAGAAAAGTGTTCTCTTCTCCCCAACAGTCACCTGCTACGTAGGAGTCCAAGCAAGGATAAGGTGCCTTCCCCTGCATGTGCCTGTTTAGGCTGGTGTTTACAACAGCCTGGTTTCCTACCTCCTCTTTTCTCTGCTTTCCATGTTTCTTGATACTTGATGTTCTTCGCGGTCCCTCCAGTCGGTTTGCCCTGTCTTTTGGCCAAGATCAGGTATAAAGCTAGCTTCACCCTGCTATTTTCTGTGCGTTCTGTTCTTGCAGAGGCTGAATTAGATAATCTAAAGCAAGCTTTTTTCACCTTAAAAATGTTTCTGATATAAGCAAGGGAAACTAGTTTACACTGCTTTGCCTGGAAGCATCTCTGTATACTTCCCTGATCAAGAGAAGCTTCTTTCTTTTCTGTTATTTCAGTATTTGAGACCTGGGGCAAGTCAAAGGTTGCTGTCTATCTATCTGAAACTCATCTCTTAGTCCTTTCTCAAACAATTTGGTTTCTCTTTGGTTCTTCCCAGTCATCCTAACCAGGATGCTGGGCCCACAACATCTGCCCAGGATATCAAGGAAGGTCAGATAAAAATATCAAGTCTTTCTGAATAATAATCTCAAACAAAACCACTGAAACTTAACTACATTTAAGACTGCCTGCAGGTTTAAATTCTCCTGGTTGCCTCCCGATATAAACCGCTCTACTTCACACTAAGATGAACACTGCTCTTTAGTTCACTTGGCAACGGTCTAGAAAAATGTAGAGTGGCCAGCCACTTACTCCTTATATTTAGTCTCTGTAGGAAAGTCTATTGGCATTTAAGCCTGTCATTGGCCAGCCAACACCTTATGACTTGTCTTCTCAATGACCCTTCACGTTAAACATTGCCTCTGCTTTACCATGTCCTATCTTGCTTTGAAAATTTCATATGGCCCTATTCCAGCTGTAAGGCTGTGGTCTTGGGTCAATAGTCTCTAGCTCCCTGCAGCACCAACTGGACAACACCAGGAAACAAAGCAGATGCAGAGAAACATCACTAGCTAGTAGCTCCACAACAAGGTAAAGCACTGCAGGGTTTTCCTGAACACGGGAGCTAGCCAGGATCAGCATCACATTCAGAGCTCAGTCTACTTTTTTTTTTCTTACGATAAAGTAGATGGAAAATACAGAAAGTACAAATATTTCCTTAGTCCTTCCCTACCAGAAGTGATGGCCAAACCCTGGTATCCATATTCCTGTTTTCAGACTGCCTCATGAAAAACAGAAGCAATTTTGCCTCTGTAGTGACACCAGCACGATCTTATGCAAGTAAAATTCAGGGAGGCCTTCCAGATTTGACCCGATCAAGAATCGGTCAGAGGGTGTCTAGAATGTAAGTGTTTAGCCCAAGCGCTGGCTTGTTTGTTTGATGTATGTGTGTTTTCATAATGTGTTTACACAGAAGAAGAACACTTGCTAGACTGGGTCCTTTGGGACCCCAAGCAAATATGATGCCGTAAGGGCCATGGTTACAGGAAGACTAGTGCGGAATGCGGTGAGCAGAGTGTCCCATTGTCCTGCCTAATAATCCTGTTTCACAACAGCCAGCACATCCTTATTGCTCGCTTCATTTTTCCTTAGACCTTGAGCTGTCAAAGCAGCTAATGAAAACTGGGAAAACCCAATAACCAGGGACTTAAATAAAATGAACTAAGTGCCATGTAATTCTCAAAACACTAAGGAATGTGTGTCTGCCCTGTTCCTGTCTGTCTGAAGGATGTATGCACTGAAAACTCTGCTTTCTTATGTAGTCAAAAATTGTATTGTATCTATTAACCAAAAAATAAAAAGATTCTATATTTATACAGCCCAGGGCTCCTTTGTATCATCTCTTGGCTTGGGAAGTTTTGGCCTTGAAGCAGAATATAAATAAATAATGCAACAGTTTTGAGAGATTTTTTTTTTACAAGGCATAGATCTTGTATTAATTTCTACCGGGGGTTCAAAACTCAGGGCAGGAACCTGCCACACTGTCATTGCTCAAAGATATCTAGCTGCTACATTTGCTTTAAAGATTCACAGATCTGGGAAAATGTTAGCCCAATTTGATGGAGGAATCCACAAATCTAGCTGCTGCCAAAACAGTCCATGAAACACAGAGACTGTAGTCTTATTAACAAATCAATGAGACTACTGAAACTGAATCAGAATTATGCTTTCTAAATAAAAGCCATGTTCACCAAAGCACATAAGCGCTAAAGTGTGTGAAGATAATTTGCAGAACATGATAGCATTTGAGGTTGTTCAGGTCTAAAACTTCAGGAAGAGTATTTAATTTAATTTGCAATAATATTCTAAAAAGAGCACAAATAAATATTTTCCAAGGCACAGCCAAGATGATGATGTTGAATTTTCACTTGAATGAAATCTGCACTGTTGAAATATAGGCTATTCCATGCTCTTATTTCATAGTGTCTAACATTTAGAAAGGTGAAGATAAAAAGTCTTCAAAAAATATTCAAGTGAACTGGGTATGCCATTTTCCTTACCATTTGACTAATCCTCCTGAAATACTATTTCCAATTCCTCTTTTCATTTTGGTGGCATAGCAGCTAACTACCAGCTGAAAAATATGAAATCTTTGCCTTTTTATACGAACTGACAAATATTAGTTTCTGCTTATGCCTTAAAATAATGTTATTAGAAATGACTGCGTTAGAGCTTCAGAGCTGTCCTTCCATTAGCACAATCTTAAAAGTTATTGGTCTGTGTATTTTGCTAGTCACATTAAAAAACATGAAGCACTCTAGTCATTTCAAACATTTTAAAGTTTCTCCTCATTCCCTGTTCCAAAGAGTCTTAGAAATAAGTGTCTAAATTATACATCTCATTCGAAATGCAACCATCTCCTTTCATCCACATAATGAACAAGAACATTCTTCTCTGTAAAATATAAAATATTTTAGTGATTTATATAATGTATGACTCATGTATAAGCTTGCTAGGCAACATAGAGCCTCCTTCTTTATGGGAAACTAATGTATTAAATGGTGGAAGGAAAATATAGAAAGTTAACTGCGATTTGCTTTTAGCACAAAATGTGAATTATTGATCACCTGGTATTACACACAGCTTGAGCTACAAACTACTTCTTGCAAGATGCCCTGTTTTGGCATGCCTTAGAAAAGTATTCTGGGGAGAAAAAGTACAAAATTAGGAATCGAGAAACACAAGCTCTTCTCTTAGGCCTTGGCCACGGTACTTAACTTCTCTGTCCCTTACTTTTGCCATATGCGAGGTAAAATATTTTTGTTTGATCGTTTTTACTGCAGCAGCACGTACAGACACAAGACCACAAACTCTCAATATGAAGGGTTGAAACTTGATGGCTTGAGGTGATAAAAATCCAAAAAGACAATAGGGACTAGGAAGAGAAAGACACAGGAGAGAGAGAAAGAGGTTTGCTGGTGGTCGCATAACAGGTCAGTGACAAAGCAAAGAACAGAACCAGCTTTCCGACTTCCACTCTGTTGCTTTTTCTTTCCTCCTATAGTGAGACTTAACTTATGAAGGTTTGTAAAGTGTAAAGGCCAGAGTGGAAAATACTGTTATTTTTATATGCTTAGTAAACACTGAGACCCACAAGCAGTAGAGAATAATTTTACCTCCAAACCTATGAAGTAGCCCAAGTCTTTCATAAGATACCAATATATATTTTAAATGCTGGCTATTGCCTGTCCAAAATGCTCCCTACAGGTTGTACTGTAATGGACTGGCCTTGCTTAAAAAGTAGATGAAGCTGTGCAAGGGCCATAAACACAGCCCTGACTCTTAAGAGTATTAAAGTTGGCTATGATGAGTCATAAAAGTGTTATTATGGCCTGATGACTTAGTACTCATTACAACTAAGAGAGGATAAAGTATTTTGTTTAAATTATTTCTTAATAGCTAACAGAATGCAGGAAATCTAGTCCTGGCAGTTACCTCCCCCACCAACACGGACGCAGAAAATGAGACGAGCCTTTTCCTCTCCCCTTCACGTACAGTCTACGCACTTCTTCCATATCTGCCCAAACAGCAGTGCTGGAGCAACACGGCTCCTAAACACTCCTATTCCATATTTCTGTAAACGGCATTGAAGACAGGGTTGTGATCCAGAAGGACGAAAAAGGACTGAAAGATATCTCAAAACATAAGCTGTCACAATATCAAATGTCAAATGCCAAGGTGAATGAAATTAATGAGGTGAGCCTACTATTCTTTCCATGCATGTGTCACTGATGGTTCTTAGTTTGAATGTCTGATCCACACAGAACCCCCTGGGCCTGAATCTAGCCTGTTATTTACTAAGCTTTGTACCCAATAAAGAAGAAATATTTCCTCTGTGGTTCAAGCTGTGCACCTTTTAAGTCCAGAGAGTCTTCTTCAGACTGTAGACTGACCACAAAGGAGACAAAGAGGTGCATTTAGCCTGTCAGCCCTTCACTAGCTGTGAGCATACAGAAGTAAATTTAGCTGGAATGAGAACTCACAACATGCGGTGAAAAATAAGTATGCGTGTAAACCAATGTAGGCAAACGCAACTGTTTGTCTTCCATTAATCACAGGTCCTAATAGGAGGAACTCAGCCTGCTCTTCCTTCCCGTTAATGGGATTTATTCTTTTAGTTCAAGTAACAGTGATCATGGTTTCAGGGTAAGAAACATCCAGATTCAATCCAAAGAAGGTCTACTGAAATAATAAAAAAATGAATACATACAGGACTTAAAAGGACACACACCGAGCATGTTTGGCCTTATTTAGCTTAGAGAAAGTTAAACTAGAGAGGAGGAAATTCTGCAAGGAGTTCACTGGAATACAGGGCAGACTGTTTTATTGATTTTTCTTTAGCTTTATGTTATTACTTCACATGATTGGTTTTAGGGGGTATCCAAAGAAAAAAGTATACGGTTGTTTTGAAACAGGAGACAAATTGAAGAGACGGATCTGAAAAATGTGGAGAAACACAACTAGTTCTGCTAGAATGGCAAGAACAAAACTCAAGAGTGGAGCATGAAGGTTTTCACTGCTGAGAGCAGTCAGCACGTCTGGAAGCACAGACTCCGGCAGAGCAGGATCTTTGAGGAAGCAGGACTGCCCATCACAGAGAGGGTGGCAGTTTGTCTACTAGGAATAAGCCACTGCGTGGTAACGATCCTAAATGCATCATTTGCATACTTGCTAGGGCAAACTAGCTACACAGGTAATCAGTTCAGTTCACTGATTTCACGTGGGGTAGGATCTGATCCACCCAAAAGAAAACAAAAATATGGTTTCAAATAGTAGGAGCCATATTAGGAACCTTATGAAAACCAACAAGGACAAATCCTGCACTTGGGAATAACTAACTCCTTGGAGCAATACAGGCTGGAGACTGAGTGGCTGGGGAGCAGCTCTGCTATAAAGGCCCTGTGGGTCTCGGTAGACACCGGCGGAGCACTGTGCCCTGGCAACACGGAAGGCCAGTAGCGTCCTGGGCTGCACTAACTGGAGCACAGCCAGGTAAAGTGATTATCCCTCTTTACTTAGCACTCATTAGACTTCATCTAGCACACTGAGAGAGGCTGAAGAACCTGCACTTGTTCAGCCTGGGGAAGATATGGCTTTGGAGGACCTCATAGCAGTCCCTCAGCAACTACAAGGAGGTTTTCAACAAGAAGGATCCAGGCTCTTCACAAGAAGGATCCAGGCTCTTCACAGCAGTGCATGGTACAAGGATGAGAGACAACATACAAACTGCAACGAGAGGTGCAGACTGGATATAAGAAGTAACCTTTTCCCCACAAGGACAGTCAAGTAGTGGAGCAGGTTGCCCAGAAAGGTTGTGCAGTCTCCATTCTTGGAGGTTTTCCAGACCAGACTGGATAAAACCCTGTGTAACCTAGTCTGACCCCACAGCTGACCCTGCTTGGAGCTGAAAGGTGGACTCCACACCTCCTGATGTCCCTTCCCTTCCAGCCTGAGTTATCCTATGATCAAGAATGACTACTTCATTCTTTAGTTCTAATATAGCCTCTCTGCATGTAAATTACATTCCTCAACACGGTCAAATTACCAGCGTAAAACTTCTATGCCTTTCCTAGTTTATGCTTATTCATTCACCTCGAGACTCAACAGAGCTCATGGAATCATATAGAAATTGGCATCTGCTAATAGTTAATTTTTTTTAACTTGTTTGCATCAAAACAAATATATGGCAAGACTGATCTCGCTTACACCAGTGAAACAAATGGTTTTCTGCATGTGTAGGATTAAGCTGGCTACTCCAAGAAAACTTACAGGCAGTTTTATCTTACAGCTTCACATGCACACTTCTGCCTGATGTTTTTTCTTAACATTACTCTATTTCACTTGCCACACAACTTATATCACTCAGTGTTCTTTCAAACCATAATTTATCCTTTTAACACACCTAAAAATGACACTAGTCATTATTTAATGTTGTCCACTGTATTCTTAGTGACCTGTCTGTTTCTCTGAACTTCTTTTAAGGTCACATTTTTACCTTAATCCTGTGGAAGACCAAGTCTCTAAAATCAAATCAAATTTCTAAAATCATTATAGGATGTTTTAAAAACTCTGAAGAGACACTCTTCTCCCTTGCAAATGAAGCTGAGATCTTATTTCCTCCAGGTCACTTAGGGGAAAAAGGATAATGCATCTGTCAATAATACACTGTTCTTGGCCAAGTCAGATCTGGTAGAAATGTCTCTCCTCTGTGTTCCACATATTTTTCTGTTCACAGTTTTCACTGTGAAAAGTTTTTACAGTTTTTCTTTTCTTTTTTTGTCTTTCTTTCTGCCAGCGTAATATTGCCAAAGAAAAATC